GCTCTCAATAAGAGAACTACAAATTATGATGTTGATGTACAGCTAGTTTACATTTCTTCAAGACAACAGGGTAGCACTGATATGAAGCTGAATTAACACAGTGAGAAAACAGTTTGAAAGTGTATTGGTAAGCATGTTAAATTTGTAATGGTGATAGTTCTTTTAAAGAGAGCCTGGGAAGCCTACAGTCATCCTGTATCCTTACTTGAAGGTAGACTAGTCAATTAGGTTTGTTGGGCTTTTTTTTTTTTTTTTTTAGGAAGGCTTATATAAACACTTCTGGCCCACACAAGGCCTCCAAAGTAAGCTGCTATTCTCTGACTTTCAAAAGCTAGAACATTTCTGTAGCCTCTCTCCCAATAATCTAAAGTAAAAGAAATATTGCTCTGTAAAAGAAAGTAAAACCACTCTTTTGGCTCTGATAAGGAGAAAGTAGGCACCCAGACAATCCAAAAAAGATCTCCTGCTGCTCAGCCTTGGAAAAACAAGTGAAGTGAAGTGAAATGAAGTGAGGTGAGGTGAGGAGAGGAGAGGAGAGGAGACAATGCTTCAGTTCAGAATCAGAATCCAATTCATGGTGCATTGATTAGAATAATAGATTGTTATCCATTTTAATTTGCACTGCTACCTGTCAGTTATGCTTGCCACGATGTCCTTTACAACACTCCCTCATATTTAGGCATCTCTTATGGTCACTGTCAGCAGCCCTTTCTCTTGTCCTGAAGACCGGACTTTGCCATCTCCAACTGGCTGAGACACATGTTTGAACAAGAAACCAGAATCTCCAGGGGAAAAAAAAACTTCTTTAAAGTAGATACAGACCTTACAGCTTTTTCTGGATGAACACAGTAGCTTAATTCCTCCCTCCATTTCAAATCTATGCACTAATTTAAGAATATAGCAGTTATGACTACCGCACAGAAATTAAGCTCATCTCAGTTTTACTCTGTGCATGTGGGCCACATGAAATGTCATCTATTAAAATGCTTAAAACAACATATTACCTTCAAGGCCCAGTGAATGTTGTTTTGTCTGCAGTGCAAAGAATACTAGTGCATATTAGGCATTGATCAAACAAAATTAGGCTATACATTCCCCAGATTTTCTAAAAACCAAAGGAGAGTAACTAAGCTCTGTTTCCTTCAGGTAGCCTCTTATTTCTTACCCTAAACAGAGATAAAGTATATCCAGAATTTGCTATCTTGGAATTCCACTTTGTCTTAAAGGAAAAGGTCAGAATTTGTTCTTCATGGGTCATAGGTTACAGGGATCCAAAAAAACTAAGCAGAACAATAGCTTTAGCTCAACTAGGGCACATTTCTAGCTACACTTCAAAACATTGTTGGGATTTAAACAGGTGAAAATGACAAACAAAGCCAAATAAAAACAATATAAAACCCACAACTCTCTATGTGCTATTATTTGAGAACACCATTCACGCCAGATTTAATAATACCGAGGAATCCTCTCTGAAGCGTATCAATTCACCTGCCCATCTCTTCACACGAAATCGTGCAGAAGTTCACTGTTGTTAGAGAAAGTAGAGTAATTCACATACTGGACTGAGTTCTCAAAACTCTGAGCCACATTCAGACCCAAGGCAGCTAGCAAATACAAGGAGCAAAAATGGGTTAACATTTTGAGTATTTTCATGTGACTTCAGTGGAGTTACTCTGAATTTGCTCTGCTGTCCCTGAGCTCAGAATTTGGCACAGAGAAACTAAGTGACTGCAATTGAACATCAACCAACACCAGAATTTAATGACTGGTTTTTGTGCAATCTCTGTGCTGTGCTCCCACTCCCCAGGGCTAATGGCCCCTACAAAGCATCAATGCTCGGACTCATTGAACAGAATGAAAAGCTCAGGAGATGATGGACCAGAATTTGGGCCTGCACACAAGTCAAAGCTGCATGGCTACTGTCTGATCCTGGAACTACTGATTGTGTATTTTCCACTTAGAATACCTTAGTCCCAGTACATAGAAGGCATGACGTCACATATTCTAATTTGCACCTATTACCTCATATCTCTTAGTAAGGTTTATTTCCATGACTTACCCTACTCACTAAAAAAAGCTTTCTAGCAATGAGTGCACAGAGAGGGTGCCTTTCTGTCTACAGTTAGGTGCCATTTGGGAGACCTGTCACTAAACACAAAGACAGGAATAAAAGATTCTTTAACACCAAGAATGTGACAGGTGCCAAAAACATTGAATATAAGATTTATTTCCAACCTCGGTGAAACAAATGCACAATTCAAAACAGATCCATACTGAACGAGAATTGCTCTGCATTGCAAAGGCAGCTTCAAAATAATCAACAGCAGATGTGTGTCTGGGAACAATTGGCACCTGATGCAGAGCAACCTAGGTCATTCAGGACAAACTTGTTGAGAATATGATTAGGTCCTGTCAAAAGAAGCAATGGTCTCCATATAACAACTAATGTTTCAGACTTCTCTGGAAGTGCCATATGAGCTGCATACACTCAGTTCTCTTCCAGTTTAACAATACTGAAATGACATACCTGAATTTTATAAAGGTTTGAATAATTCAACAGCCGCTAGAGTAAATAATTCAAGCTAACATCATGAGAAGCTAGTATCGTCACATTTCAGACCTTGAACCTTAAGGCTGTTTGGTTAGAAAGAGAGAGAACATCTCGAAAGTAACTATTGTGTTTTTATGCCTTCTTCCATAACATTGTACAAGTCGCAGTGCCAGAGGTTGTATTCTTAAGCTGTGTGACTGTGTGAATCAGTACAGCAGTTTCTCTGTCCTCATGCAATAGTTCTTCAAGATAAGTATTGTGTGGTAATAAATTTCTCTCACTCTCACTTTCTATTATGGAAATGCATAATAATAATAATAGTAATAATAAATAAAATCCTAGTAGAAATCAGCAAGATTTAAAATATACAATGTGAAGCATTTGGAAATGAAGCTGATGTATGGTCAAGCTTCCTTAAACATTCCCATTTCCTAAGTGGGAAAGGTTGTACTGTAGAATCTAACTATACTTTACAGATTTCTAGACAGGTAATACCCTACTCAAGTCCTTCTCTGTATATAAGCCATTCCATATTTCTAATTTTTCCGCATCATATATGGTAATAATTAGACATCGAACCCCCTCCCCTGTCCCCCCCAAAAAAGATGTTCTGTTCACCCTCCTTTGGCCTCAATTTCAGTTGTTTAACTGTTCTTTCTGTTCTCTGCTCTGAAGGCATGAAACAAAAAATAGAAAATTATACTAGGAGTTCTCCACTAAAATTTGAAAAGAGGACGTGGCGGGAAATACTCAGCTTTTGAGTCAGCCTTCACACATTCAGTCATCCAGTGCACTCAATGATCAATGCTGAAATAACAGAAATCAAAGGTCCAACAAATTTTCTTGGTTAGAGCAAGGACAGAAAGTTTCTATGAAGACTAAGAATAGAATCATAGCATCATGATTGGAAAAGGCCTTCAAGATCATTGAGCCCAACAGTAAACCCTTCAACACTACATCTGCTAAACCATGTACCCAAGACAATACACGCTTTCCTTAAACTTGCCCAGCAAGGTAATTTACAGGCCATTTGCACTTCTGTGGGACAAGTACATTTGCAAGGGACTCCACATGGAGATGTAGAACACAGGGCAATGGTGCCAGTGCCATTCCCTGTAAGAAAAAAATAAGTGCCCAACAGTAAGTGAGGGGACTACTTTGTTTTCTCTCTCTTTTTTTTTTTTTTTTTGATTATCATATGGATACCGAAAG